CTAACACTAACATGAGCTAACATATTGTGTCATTTTTGCGTGTGATCATTGTCAATGATAGTGAAATTTAAACCACCTATCATCTCAGCATGCGTGATGATGTATATGCTATTTTTCTTAGTAGTCTTAAAGGCTCTAAGTGCTCCCTTAAATAATTTCACAACACCCTCACCAAGTGTACCAGCGAAACATGTGCGCTCTAACTCCCCAACAGATTTCAGGTTCCTAACCATCCGTGGAATATACCTAACCTCTTTTAGTGTGTGCACAAAATCACTATCAAATCTGATAGTCACTACCCGTGCCAGTGATCTTATATTCGACTTTACCCCATAGAACAACATGACCGTGATTTGACTCATACAAATGATCAAATCACATTTTATAAGTAACACGAAAAGAAGCACCGGAGTCAAGAATCCACTCATGGATATAGGAGTTCATAGACACGTTTATTTCAACTAGTTCGGTGTTTAGGAGCATGTAAACCTCACCAGATTCATCTCTTAAGACAACATCGTTTGACTCACTAGGTTCTACATCCCTCTGTCTCCCAACTTGTTTTTCTCTTTATGACAATCACTAATGAAATGTCCTAATTTCCTACAACCATAACATTTCCCCCCCTTTGCCTTTCCTTGTGATTAGATCTATCTCTACCTTTCTTTTTGCCAATACTGTTTTGCCTCTCCCTATCCTAAAATAGGATCCATCTCTCATTTGGTGAATTTCTCATGTTTTTCTTTTGTTTCTTTCAGCTTTCATCTCCCCCTCCTTACTCTTGAGGGAATCAATGACCACATCAAGTGTGAGTGTCTCCCTTTTATATTTGATAGCATTCTTGACTTTCTCATAGATATCATGAATAGCATTCAAAAGGATAATAACTTTATATTTATCAAACACTTTATCACTACAATTTGTAATATCTTGCACAAGTTTATTGAAAATGTCAAGATTGTTATTTAATTTGTTTGAATGGTCAATTTTGAAACTAAAGAAACTTTCAAGTAAGAAAAGTTTAATTGGAGTGAACCGAGTCAAGTAAAGTTCTTCTAATAGGGGCCGAAAGTATTGTGACAAGGATAAGGCACAACACCTAAATATATATATGAATGATATTAGAGTATTAAATGGGTTGGTTGTAAAGTTGGTTTTTCGATCTGTCTTCGATTCTTGAGCTATCAATGTAATTCTGGGCCCCCTTTAAATGTTATACTCAACCGTGGACTTAAAGCCTTGAGTTAATCCATGCCGACCATTAAATCATCGCCCCGATATATATTTGATATCAATAATACCCAACAAGAAAAATATAGAGATCAGGAGCAACGAGAGATCCCGTTGCAGTCATAGAACAACCCCATAAGATTCTTTCAAAACTCAATCCTCGAGATTTACTATTCAAAATGATCCAAGAATGGACTATGACTCAGGTTCAGAAACTAATTCATGATTCTTCTATTGCAGTGATAGGCTTAAGTTGGACAATGCCGATTATGCTATATGGTTCCAAGTTGTTGAGGCGTATGTAATGCCATAAAAATTCACGATATTTTAGAGTTTATTTAAATTCGAAAATAGAGGGAAAATCAAATTTTAAACCATACTTCGAAAATTCACGATATTTTAGAGTTTAATTAAATCCAAAATAGAGGGAAAATCGGGATTTAAATAAATTAATAAGTGACTTGATTGAAAAAATATGATTTAACAGGGGACTCAATTGATCAAAATCGAAAAGTTAGAGTTGAAGACCAAAAAGTTAGAAATTGAAAGTTCATTTCCTCTTTCAACCTTATCGAACAGTCCACATCGAGATATTATTATGAGTCTTACATCCGTAGATAGCTTTCACGCATAGTGAACCCGGTTTAATATAAGAATATATATAGCCTGTACTCTGATTTTAAAATTTTTTTTATGCTCTCTAATTCGTCATACTAAACACAACCTTCCATTATTTAAAGTGAAAAAATTAATTATTCTAAACTTACTTATAAGTCGGTTCTCTAAGATTAGCCAAACACGCACGTAGCGATTGGTTGAAGATTCACAATCACATACCGTTAATGGAAATTGGAATTACTGGTGGTATGTATTCCGTAATAATAGATAAAAGTGCCGGCTTTTATGAAATTTGTATAAAAGACTAGTGTAGGCACGTGCGATGCACGTGCTGTAGTTTAGTTCGGTATTTAATAGCGTGTAGTGATTTGAAATTATTTTTTCAGTTAATGTTTAAAGATAAAACGTGTTCCCTTCTGGTCCAAACTAATATAAAAAATAATTAGAAGATGTTCAGAAAATTTACCAAGTATGATTCAA